CATTCTATTTTGAAATAGTTCGGCAGGCACGACACGCGCTGTTCTCGCGTTTCCAAGCTTCTACAATGAGCTTGGTTTCTTAACCTCCGAAGCTTCGCCTAGTTTGCATTTAATAGCAGCGCCGCGCAGAATGCACGGAAAGCCGTTTACGTGCTGTAACCCTCCTTCTCAATAATTTTTACCAAACTTCTGGATTCCTGCTGCGTCGAACTTGCTAACCTTTCGCCAGTCATCCTGTTGGCTTCTTCAGAGCATACCTGAAACTGGCTCGGATTTTACTCTGGATCTACTTATATATTATTCAAAGGGTGCGGAGCTAACAGAAGGGCATAAAAATCGTCTCGGATGACTGATTCCCATATTGGTGTCAGGAAAAGACCTAAGTTGCGGTTAAGATTGTTAAGTTGGGATTTTTCGTTGGTAGAAGAATTGATTATATGCAAGAATTTAAGTTTTATCAAATAAAATTTTATGTTCGTTTTCGTAATTGTGTTCGGAACTGCTAATGAGTTTACTTGTCTTAGTTTTAAGGCTCTTTTATGTTCTTTGAGCCTAGTTGATATTTTTCGTCCTTTCTCTCCAATGTATCCTTTGCGTCTTTGACGAATCCAAGATGCTGAGAGCTTTTTGGACAAGTGGTGATTTTGACGTTATATTTCTTTAGAACTTTTGATATGTATTTTGTGATGTATTGAGTGTAAAGAAGGACAACAGTGGCAAGTGTGGGATTGCTTTCGGCTTCGTTGCTATTGGAAGTTTGTGGTGAAGTGTATTTTGTGATGGAATATATTTAATGGGGAAACTATTAGAGAGAAGAGCAGAGGTAAGGTGTTCTAGTTCTGTTTTCAGTAACTCAGGCTGAGATACTTTTAGGGCTCTGTAAACAAGAGAGTTGATAACCGATGATTTTTAGGACGGATGGTGATGTGACAATGCATTAAGGTATGTCTGTATGTGTAGGTTTTCTGTAAACACAATGTTAGGTCTGATTTTTCTATTGATTTGAATATCTAAGAAGGGGAGGTTATTATAAGTTTCTAATTCTATGGTAAGGTAATAGTTAGGGTGTATAATGTCTAAAAAAATCTACTAGGGATTCTTAACCATGAGGCCAAATAACAAATGTATCATAGATGTAAAGTTTTCATAATTTTGGGCTTAGAAAGAAGGTGTCGAGAGCTTTCTTCCCAAAGTCTTCCATAAATATATTTGTGATGACTGGTGATATTGGAGAACCCATAGCTGTTCTCGACATCTGTTCAAAAATTTGGCCGTTATAATAAAAAATATGTTCCAGACAAGCATTTTTCAATTAAGCTGAGAAGGTTTGGTTCCAGATTCTCGGATTTTAATATATCTGAAATGATGGTGAGAGTTTCAGGAAAAATGTGCATCCAATGTAATGCTTTTTATTTGTTCGATGAAGTGAAAAGAATTAAATACGGAACTGTCAGTTTTCCTTGTAAAGGGTTTTAATAAGGAAGCTAGATATTTTGCTAGAGAATATGTTGGAGAACCAATGGTGCTGACAATAGGTTGAAGGGGTAGTCCTGGTTTGTGAATCTTTGGAAGTCCCTAGAGACGAGGAATTTTTGAGTTATTGGGGGTGACAGATTTTTTTACGGAATCTCATAGAGAAGAAGCCTTAGGGCAATGCGTTCAGGCTTTGCAATATTTGATTTAGGGGGTTTTGATTTTTTTTAAGGATTTTTGCGGTTTCAAATCGAATTTCATTAGCTGTTTGAGATTATAGTTTTCCTCTTTGGGATAATACGTGGGACAAGGACAAAGTTGAATTCTTTTGAAAGAACTGATTTTTCCTTTTCCGAAAGTTGGTGCGAGATACATTTATTTCAGTATTTGGTAGTTGAGACGAGTTTGATGGTTTCCCTAGTGTTGACGTTAGTTTCTCAAATTTCCGAATGTGATTCTGATGAATCATGTTTGACAAGATAAAATGAATTGATTTCCTCTTTTGGGATAACACGTGGGCAAGGACAAAGTTGAACCCTTTTGAAAGAACTGATTTTTTCGTTTCCGAAAGTGGGTGCGAGATACATTTGTCATAGTATTTGGTAGTTGAGAAAAGTTTGATGGTTTCCCTAGTGTTGACAGTATTTTTTCAAATATCCGAATGTGATTCTGGGTAGAAGATAAAACGACATTCAAAGCTTTGTCATTAATCATGTTTGAAATGGTATCGAACTCGGATGGAGACAATATGGAAGCAATTTCAAGATGTAGAGAGAGAAGAGTCTTATTGATTAGGTCTATTTCCTTATGGGTATGACTAATTCTTTCTTGAAGTAAAGCAAAACGATTTTCGAAAGATTTTATAAGCGGAAGAGGTTTTGACATGATGGTGATGATATGATGGATGATATTTTAAGAAAAGCTTCCATAAATGTATTACCGATGACTGGTGATAATGGAGAATCCATAGCTGTGCCCGACGCTTCTTCAAAGATTGAACCGTTTGGTTCTAGATTTTCGGATTACAATATATCTGAAATGATGTTGAGAATTTCAGGAAACTAATCAGAATATGTTATGTATCTAATGTATTGCTTTTTTATGGTTCAATGTTCAATTGTTCAGTTAGGCTCTGAAGAAGGCAACAGGATAATTCGCGAAACGTTTGCAAGTTCGACTCAACAAAATCCGACGCAGAAGGAATATAAAGTTTTGTAAAAAGTATTACAGTAGCCTGTGGAAGTTTCCTTGAAAAATTAACATGCCTCGCTTTGAACTTTAAAAAGGGCCTATTTTTTTTTCTCTTAAAACCCTCACGCTCGCATAGAAATTAAGACCAGCGGCAGCTAAACGGGACGATTTCGATTTTCACAATAATGACAAGCGAATTCAAACATAATCAATGTAAAGTGCGCGTCCCATGTTCCCCGTCGACCGACCGACGTAATGAAATTTTCAATTCGACCTGCGAAATTAATAAACGAAAAGCCATATTTTCACGCCCGGCTGTAAATTGTCGCCTATCGTCGGGGTAATACATCGAAGGCCACACCTTTTTTAGGGCCCTTAATTTAAGGCATTTCATTTCGGGTAATTTATCGCCCCGGCACGTCGTTCCGTGGCGAATTTATGCGTTAACTATAATTTGATTGTGCTGTGTTTTTCGCTAAAATTGCGCTTGCCGTGTCTCGTGTACCTTTTTGTAGTCTATTTCAACAAGGTGTAGAGTAATAAAACCATTGCAAGATTCTTCCTTTTATCGAGTGCCGGTAGTACCACCCTGGGGTTTGGGCCAATTTATGAGTGTTGCCTATTGTTATGTATACCAAAAGTGTCATTTTATCACATCACTTTCATTTCCCACGGTTCATGGCCACTTAGGATATTTCCGGGATATTACCGCACGCAGCAATCGGATGTTTTCGGAAATATTACCGCACGGCTTCAATTGTGACTGTTGTCAATTCTGACGGTTATGTCAGTGAATGAATCCATTAATCAATCCAGGAATAAGAATTTGTAGTTTACAGTTCAGTGATGACAGTTTTGCACAGGATGCTCAAAATTAATATTGACAATGTCCAAATATAGGTTAAAGGTTGGCAAAAAAAAAATTAAAATTTAATTACGTAATTGGAATACTAGTTAGGATCAATTATATGAATTTAATGAAGTACATATTTGAAACACTCTGTGGTATTAACTGATAAGAATAGAAATATTTTATTGTCAAAGCCTTCAAGCCTTGTTATTTTTTAATGGTTCTATTTTTCGTTCAGCTCGATACCTTCCTTTTGATTACATTAAGTCTTGAAATGAAAACATATTTAAACATTCAATATTTTTGTTCAAGAAGCATATACTCTTATATTTGTTTGAAAATTTCCATTTTCAACAATGTAAAAATTAAAATAAATTTATAAAGTGCGTCATATTGTTTATTTATAAATATATCATACTTTTGGAAACGCCCTCGTATATAGACATGCTGCACGCGGAACAAACATACAATCAGAGATCCCTCGTAACCCAACAAATCAATGATACATCAGCCGTACGACACAGAGTGCTGGTCTTATATTTTAATTCTGTAAACTTTGCCCAGGGGATACAAATAATTTGACGGGAGAACGATTTAAAACTGGAACGACTAATGAAACGCCACTATTTATGCAGGTCTGTAAAGGAGGGTAAACTGCGTCTCGATAAGATACTCGTCAAAAGAAAAGAATTTGATTTTAAAAAAGTAAAAATTGCAGGGTGGACCAAATGGACCACTTTTCAAAGAAAAAAGAAATCAAAATCAAATCGACAGATTTGACAAGAATGTACAGCCTTAAGTTGAGGGCCAGCGATATTCCAAACACCCTGCAATATGAAAGAATTTGGTTTATAAGTATACGGATTCTTAAAAGAAACCCTAATACTGCCTTTCTCTTTTCCCTCTTTTGTAAATGGTACCAGTTGGCCATTACTTTAGGTTGAAACATTAGGCAAAATAAGATTGACTTTTGAAGGATCTATCCAACAAAAAGAAAATCAAAATCTAACCATAAACAAAGATTTTACGATGGTTTATATTTCTTAATACTGTTTCTTGAACAGAAACAACGGTAACTGTATTGTATTTTATGCAGGAGAGTACCGTTTTTCACAAAACTGTTTTGTTTTTTCAAAAACGGGACCGACCCGTCATGGAAAAAATGTAAATAAAACTGAAATGAACCAATAATTTTATAAAATAACATAGTTCTTTCAAATGGAGCTCTCTTGATAACAAACACTTTTTTAACGACGCTAACGAAAAGCTCACACCAGCAAATCCATTCTTACAAAAATAAAAATTTCAATAGGAGTGTTTTCTTCTCAGCATCGCCACTCAAATGCTGTACATTTTTGACCCGTTATTGATTTGATTTGATTATTGATTCACATGACCCCGTCTACTGATATACCGCACGCAGACCAGCATTCTAATTCAATATTGACGTTGCTGATTAGGCGGCTGATGAGATCGGTATACATATCCGACATTAGGAGTTACGGTAAAACCAAACCTGTGGTCGGAAATTGAATCGTATGTATCTACGAAGCCGGTGAAACAGATAATACACTAAGATAATCCCAGCAAGAAAACAAAATGGTAGGTACATAGGAACAAAATTTAACAATATTAAAAAGTGCATCCGTTTCGTTTTACAACCTATTTCTGGAATTTGCAGAAAGCGTCGCTCATGCTCGTATTATTTCACACCTACGCGCTACTTGCGTCCGACAACCCACGCGAGCGAGACAAAAGGGGTTTGTATCTGCCACTGTTTTATCCATTTGGAGGAACATTCAAGGTATTTGGGATTAATAATTTAATTCAATTGACATCACGAAATTAAAATATAACCAATTAGTGATGTAGTAATGATAATGATATTAAATTGAATATCCTGCGTGCGATAAAAATATAGAAGGTGAGTCACAAGTATTTCTACATTTCCTTTTTAAGTTGGTATATCAGGTGTATTATTTCATTATTATAGTTTGGTTAGTCCCATTCGGTTCCTTTAATAGATATTTTGATCAATTGAAAAACAGAGAGATGTAACGTCATTTTGAACACTGTAACAACAATTACCTGTATGATAACAGAAACCACAGGAATACTCCTTTCTAAATTGAGATTTTTTTCAAATTTTCAAATTTTAACCAATTGTGAATTTTGTATTGTATTGAAAGTAAACGAAAGCGCAAGAATAATTGCTTCTAGGACAATATTTTTGTTTACTATTAGCCTATTGAAGCTTTAATCTGCATCTGGTGCGGTGTCTAATTTGTGCAGATTTAAAGAGAATACACTAGTTTTTTTTATGCAATCACCAAGTGCAGAATCCAACCGTTGCAAACCGCTGGTTTCAGAGTTCCTTACCCCTTTTGACGTTGTCAAAGTTGGTCAATATGTATGCTAACTAGAAAGAAAACTGGGGTTTCATGGATTTTTCATAGAAAATGCGAAATAGCAAAAAAAACTGTAATTCGTTGATAAATTTTGGTCAGCCTGTAAGTGAGAAATCAATTTTCAATACTACACAACTGATCGCCACTAGTTAAAAATTGTAGATGACGCCTCCGGTTTAATATAATGTCCCATCTTTTGAAATGTTGAATTAATTAAGATATCTAAGCAACTGTATAATATACTGGGCGTTCTCTTTAAAATAAACAAGTTCTCTGCGATACCCTAGATATGATCATCTATTTTCGTTGCATGCACTGGGTGATGCATTGCCGAACGGAACATAGGAAATGCCAAGTAAATTTTTAGGTGCCCAAATATAGGCTCTAATCTACATTTTACACAAAATTGTAATATAACTTTTTCTGCTCCCGTCCGTAAATGGTAAAATGTAATTACTCACCGAACTAACGTGCCTTTACCACATCAGTTTCGTTTCCCATGGATCCGAGCCACTTCATTTCCGAGATTTTAAGGCACGGGCTTGGGAGCAATCGGATATTTTCGGAGATATTTCCCACGCTTTGAATTGTGACGTTTGTCGATTCTGACGGACATGCCAGTCAATGTATTCTTGTTGTTTTGCGAAAATGTACCTAAAAACTAACGGTCGTAGAAAAAGTATATCTTCCGCTGCGCTCCGCTCGTGTCAAATAAACTCGTGAGTTAAATATCGCACTTGTTGCATAATATACTATTTTTAAGGGGTCGGTATGATTAACCCATGTGTTGAGTTTGAATAAATTTTAATAAACCAATCTTCAGTTATTGAATTAAACATGTTGGCAAAATTAGAAAATTTGTATGGCTTAGGTAAAATACATTTTAACATTGGCAACACGAAAATTCGTAACAGTAAAAATATTTTTAATTGTGATTTTTATACTTTATTAAACGCGCTTTAATTAAAACTAAATATGCGCTATTCGATTGAAGAGAAAGTCTTATTGTCTGAAATATTTTCAGTTTATTTTCCTGCTACAACTGTTCGAGTCCTCAGGCACATAGGTAATAAATAACCGCAAATTTTCAGCTGAAAATGTCGATAATAGAGCAGAATAAATGTACAATAGAGATTTGAACATTTTACTGCACGTGGAGGAAAACAAAATGATTAGTACGGGGATTCTTAGACAAAGTGTCAATAAACATCAGACCACAGTTTTGCGCATTTAAAAAAAAGAAAATGTTTTTCCTATAAATACGAAAAGCACAAAGAGCTCCAAGAAGGCGATGAAGAAAGAAGAGTAGCATTTTGTTTTGAAATAATAGGGATTTTTTCACAAATATTTGTTTCATTCATAAATGTACATTCATTTTCAACAACGAATCAAATGTTCAAAACTGTCGCTATTCAAGCCAATATCCTCAATACATAAATGTTATGGTGGGAATTCGGGGACATCATATTATTGTGCCATTTTTTATGGATTATAACCTCAAAGCAGAAAGTTTCCTGCTGTGTGGTTACTTGAAAAGTGTTATATATAAAAATGTTAAATTTGAAAATCTTAAACAGTAACAAAACGTTATTTCCTTAGAATGTCACATGTGAAATTTCAAGATCGTTTAAGATATTGTTTAACTGTTAATTTAGTGTTGTCTGAACATTTGCTTAAAAACATTTACTAGAAAAATATTTATTTTAGCAATGTTTTGTAACCGTATTTTGATTATAATTATCAATTATTTTTAGTAATAGAGTTGCGGGTCAAATTTAGAGTAGTTCGTTGAAGCTTTTTTGTTGCCACTTTAAGTGGCAAGGAGGTCTTAAGAACCGAGCATGAGTAAGAAGGTAACAACAACAAATGATATACCTACATAGTTTATTTTGAATGTGTGAATTCAAATGTCTTTATTGTAAACCAACCTTTATTTGATATGTCATTGCAATTTTGTCATCACATTTAATTCAACAGTAAAAATTATTCAAACTCGGCACAAAATGTACAGGGGAGCCAATATTTCGTCACCTAAAAATTGACATGGGATGCATCGCCCGGTATAAATTTTTTCTTTCGATAAAAATGATAAGTGTGAGATACTCATTTTCAACGGTTAGCTGGTTATTTCATATTTTGAATTAAAAGTCAATGAATTTTTGTATTTTTTAATATGGTACCCTGTTTGTAAATATGAACATGAAATTTATGACGTACTAATCAATGCAAGAAAAAATTTTGAACTCAGGAGACAATTATTAGATTAATTGGTTCTATTGAACAATATTTTTGTTTGTTGATTAGCGTATTGCGTGTGATCTGGTCTCTAGTCTGTACATACCTTCCACAATTTCTTAACTCGTTGGAGTTAATAAAAAGAAACAAACAAACAAACTTGGTCAAAACCTAGATAGAATCTTGGGGCTTAATTGACTTTTTATGAAAAATACGAAAAAAAAAATCTATTGGGATTGCGTTTAGGGAAATCAAAAATGAAATAATATACTGGGTGTTACTGAGATATTTATGCCATACCGTGCATATTATCCACCATTTTCATTGCACGTTACACGTAAACAGAAAAACCTAATCTAATAGTTTTTTCGATATTTTTAATTTTCTAAAAAAATACTAGTTTTCACAATTGCAAAAAAATTTCTATGGCACCATTATTTTTCACATAGTCTTAGACAGAAGATGGGTAAATTTAAAAAAATAGGTAATAAAAGTTGTAGGTTTTTGTAAGATCTTTCACAAAAAATAATAATATATATTCGTTTATTTTGAACACTCTGTAGCATCTAATTCAAATTTTCTTGCAAATATCTTTCATCTGCCAATGACGCTGGTATTAAATATAAGTGATTTTACCTTTTTTTTTGCAAGTGTGCAAAGTGCAAAATAGTATTTTCTTAGAAAAAATATTAGAAAGAAAACCATTAGATTGGAATTTATAAAAGAGTTGAAGAAGTTAAATTTTACATTTTCCATTTCCATTCTCATAAATTGTGAAACCAGATGGAGTTCGCTGGTGGCAAGTCAGTCTCAAATTTATGAGTTGATAAGTTTAATCATCATGAAATTCGTACGTGTAAGAGGGAGTAACCAGAACAATAAAACTTTAAGTTGAAAATGTATAATACATATATTTATTTATTTTAATGAATAATTATTAAGATCTAGCGAACGGTGATCGGGCCATCAGCGAGGTGACACGGTTCGCATCTGAAACTAAAAAAATATATCAAAGATTATTAAGATTCACGAAACAAACTTAATATTACTTAATATCATTAGACATCAGACAGATATATCTTGCATAAAATCTGGAACTGCGTTTGGGTTGGTACTAAGGGCAGAACACACATAGTACCTATTTCAATCTTTAGTACTGGTTATTCCGATCGTGCAATGGATACTAAGGGCAGAGACACGCGAAGTATCCTGTCGCAAATAATCACCGGCAGAGACATGCGACAGTGCAATAAAGAACAGGTCATAATATACTGAAGGGCAGAGATGCGCATCAGAATATTGGTACTAAGGGTAGAAACACGCATAGTACCTCTTTCATTCACTAGTGCTGATTATTCCGATCGTGCAATGGATACTAAGGGCAGAGACACGCGAAGTATCCTGTCGCAAATAACCACACCGGCACTGAAGGGCAGAGACACGCGACAGTGCAATAAACAAGGGCAGAGACACTCGACAGTAGCCCCGACTTTCAACAAGCAAAGGAACAACGTTTAAAATAGTTCAAAGAGAGAACACGCTAATATTTAACCAAATTCCTTGGGTATATTTTATAAAATAAAAACGAAACCGATCGATAATTAAATCATTTGGTACTTTGCTATTTTGGCCAATAAAATGCAACTACTGCTGTAGCTTAAAAAAATATATGCGTCTTACATACGGAATCAATTGCAAGAGCTAGTAATCTTGCGAGAGTGTCTTTAGGTCTTCCGAATCAAAGGCACATTTTGCGTGTATCATGCCAAACCTTTGAGACTGTAGTTGCTATAATTTTCAATAAAACAATTGCAGCAGCTTGAGAAACAAAATTACCAAGGATGGAGATATAGATCGTTTTGCATTGGTTCCCATCTAATTTTAAAGGCGTTCTAAACGTTGTCTTACTTTCTGCGATCTATGAAGATTAACAATCTATCAACAGTATTCTCAGTAGTCACTAAAAATTTTTTTCCTTACAGTTCGTGCTAAGCTTTGCTATACCTGTAAAGTTCGCGCCCAAAAGAGAGATGGGTATCGGCTGGAACTTCCAATGGCAGTACGCGCTACCGAGAAATACCACCATGGTGGAAACTTATCCACCCACCGTTTCAAGATCCGACAGAGCTTTAAAGGAAGCACAAGGAAACAATATCGATAACACAAGCGACCGGGCGATGTTTTACAATGTCGTCGAGAGCATGCTCAACAAGTTAGTTTAATATTTATACAACGGCTCTGAGTACTCTACAAAAGTTGCCAAGTAATTTCCGAATTCACTGGACAATTTAAGCAGTATTGGCATTTCTGACAATCGGATTTTCTTAAAATGATCATATTCCTTTCACCATCATTCCGTTGACTTCTTGAGAGCTTAACTGAAACTGATTTGCAGTCTAATGTGTACCTGCTTATATACTGTGGGAAGGGGGCGAATCTAAAGGAGGGGCAACAAGAAAAATTCATTACATGCAAGAATTTTAGTTTCATCCAATAAGATTTGATGTCCCGTTTCATGATTGTATTGAGCAACTGCTGATGAGTATATTTGTCGTAATTTTAAGGCACTCTCATGTTCTTTTATTATTTTAGCTTTTTTGTACTATTTGTTCAATGTATTTTTCTACTCCCGTCTGTAAAACACCTAATTACCCACCGATCTAGCGTGCGGGAAGCGTCACTTTTCCACGTCAGTTTCGTTTCCCATGAATCCCAGCTACTTCGGACATTTCCGGGAGATGTTATCGAAGATTTTCCCGTACGGTTTGAATTTTGACGTTTGTCAATTCTAATGATCATACCAGTGACTGTATTCTTGCTGTTTTGGAAAAAATGTACCCAAAAACTAATACACATTTTCGGGATTTTAACGCACGGATTTGGGAGCAATTGTAGAGCGGTCGTAGAAAAAGTATAGTATGCAACACGTTCGGTAAACTTTTTAACTCACTCGTTAATTAAAAACTCGTTTCGCAGCGCTCCGCTAGTGTCAAATAAACTCGTGAGTCAAATGCCGTTTGCAGCACTTGTTGGATAATATACTATTTTCGCCGCATATGTATTGAATGCTATAAACTCCTTTCATGTCAAACGGTCTTTGACGGAACGAAGATGATTAGAGATTTTTGGACAAGTTGTAAATCTAGTGATTTGTGGTCGTGGTCGTAGTCAACCAAGAACCTATGAACCCAGTAAAAACCGAAACTCAATACCTCTAGCCAAACTTATAAATGAAGCAAATTAAAACAAAAAAAAGTTGTATTTTGGGGGGCATTTTCACTTTAGGGGACATTGTATTACTTTTCCAGAATGTACCACATAAATCGATAATTTATTGTTTAGGATACCAAGTGATATGTAAAATTTCGGTATTTATACTTACTATTTTTTACAATTCTTTTAAATGGCACAAAGTTACCTAGAATTGACATCATTGTTAAAGGAAATTTGCCGATAATGGGATATCCACCTAGATGTAGCTTTGAAACCTATAGTATGTATGTTATAAGAGCCAAATTTACCTACCAAGGGCAACATCATTTTCCACTTAATAGGAAAGCCATGAACCAATCCATTTTCGTTTATGCGCTTCAATGGTGATGCAAATTTGAATTGATTTTTTCGAAACTAAGATAGGTCTTGACAATTTGTTATCCATGAGGATACATTAGGAATGTTAATAGTATATAATGCAACAAGTGCGGTAAACGGCATGTGACTCACGAGTTTATTTCGCACGAGCGGAGCGAATGCTTAAAAATCGAGTGAGATACAGAGTTTACCAAACGTGTTGCATACTATACTTTTTCCACGAGGGTCACGAAAAAATAACAACTTAACAAATTAAAAATAATAACAGATTATCGGATTACTAAATTTCGTACCATTCAAATAAAATATTTTTTTTCTAATCCCGTCTGTAAAATACCTAATTACACACCAATCCAGCGTTTGGGAAGCGTCACTTTACCACGTCGGTTTCGTTTACCACGAATCGGAGCCACTTCGGACATTTCCGGGATTTTACCGTACGGGTTTGGGAGCAATCGGATATTTTCGCCTTGAATTTTAACGTTAGTTAATTCTGGCGGTCATATCAGTGGATATATTCGTGTTGTTTTGCGATAATATACCCAAAAACTAACGGCTGTAGAGAAAGTATAGTATGTAACACGCTAAGTCACTAGCTCCGCTCGTATCAAATAACCTCGTGAATCAAATGCCATTTGCCGCACCTGTTCTGTAGTTCCGATCGGTCCTGCTATTGTTGTCTCTTTTGAACTGTGTACGTTAGACAGAAAGAGATGTATTTTGGATATGTCATATAAAAAACGGAGTAAACACAATTTTAAAACGTTATGTTGTTTATTTAACTCTGACAATTGATCATTAAGTAGTTTATTTAAAGAAAAAGTCTGTAATTTGAGGAGAACTCATCCAAGGATAGAGCTTTTAAGAGGACTAAATTTAATTAAATTAAAATTAAAGATCGTATAATCAAGAAAAAGCAGATCCTAACCTTCAATTTTGTTTTGTTTGTAGTGATGAGACATGAATATTTATAAAATCGCACAATTGGTCTTGGCAAGATAGTAATAGAAAAACCATAAAACCACTAAAGTTCATGCGAACGGTATGTAAAATTTCTGTGGGAAACTTAAATTATAACTCTCTTTGCTTACCGACTAGTTCACTGATTTTAATTGTAGCTTATAGCACGTAGTATTTAAATTGTTGGATATATTGCATAACGTTTTTCTGTGTATTAGTTTTTGGGTACATTTTTTCCAAAACAGCACGAATACATTCACTGGTATGATCGTTAGAATTGACAAACGTCAAAATTCAAACCGTGCGGGAAAATCTTCGAAAACATCTCCCGGAAATGTCCGAAGTGGCTCGGATTCATGTAAAACGAAACCGACGTGGTATAGTGGCGCTTCCCGCACGCTAGATCAGTGTGTAATTAGGTATTTTACAGACGGGAGTAGAAAAAAGGTATTTTGTACTTTCCCTCATATAAGGCTGGAAATTTGATTATAGTGATAATACGATTGCAAAAAAAACTAATATGCAAAAATAGGATTGCAGTTATAAAAGACTGTAGGAGTAAAACAATAGGATGCAAGAACAATACCAAAATATTTTGCAAAGATTTGTGATGATGAATGGGTTTCCGGAAGTTGAAATCTAGATAAGACTAAGAGGAAAAAAAAAGCAGTGTGCAAGCTTTCTTCGGCAAGAGACTCTTATAAAATACAGACTCGTCTGGCTCCTCAGATATCGAGGTGTATTTTCATTTCACTTCTTGGACGGCAATCTAGAGGAGTGCATGTTTTCCCATCTTACATTCAAGGATTGCAAAAGAACAGTTAATTCAGTGTGAGGAAAGACTTTCATAAAATCTTCTACATTTCATCTTATTAAATTATGTATTATTTTCTTGATATGTTGTCGAAGAAAGGTTTTCCTTCAAAACCACATTATTACGATTATGGCTATAATAATATTATAATAATAAATTTATTTAGCAATTAAAAAATTAAAATCTACAGAAAGACACTAAGAACTTCGCAAATACCCCGTAAGCCTCTCTTTGAATACTCTTATTCGAAGACGCGTTTTTGATATTATCCTTCATTTCATTATAATTACTAACACCATCATGGAATAGTTTTCTGTAAACTTTTAATTTTTACCATTGAAACATTGAAGTGCTGATTGGAACGTATATTATAGTCATACAAGTTTGACTTTTTTTCCAACGATAATTTAAGATTATTTATCTTTATATCTATCACAGTTCAGTACGATTCTCATAACTCTATTTTGTTGTAATTGTAACTTATTTAAATCTTCTTTTGTACAAGATATAAGCAATGAACAAATTTACGACCAACGATGTAAAATTATACTATTATACATTTATACATTATATATTGAAAAACACCATTTTCATACCAATCTTTTCGAATATTCAACATGATTACTAAAACATAGTTGGGGATCTAAGATCACTCCCAAATATTTAATTTCGGAAACAAACTCAATTTTATTAAATTGTATATCCACTGAATACCCGAGAATTTTGACAGCTGACTTTAGAACCGATAACCATGCATTTGGTTTTGAAGCTATTTAATTTCAGTTTATTTTGGCACAACCATTTGGGTAGCTACTTTTTTGCAATCGTTTCCAGAGATTTAAATACGCATGTCATCGGCAAATAATTTAACAAATGAGTTTTTTAAAACCTGATACATTTAATTTATATAAATAATAAATAAAAGTGAGCCCCTGAGGTACACTCTATCTACTATCCCTATGACATTAATTTTAGTCTGGTGAGATCTGACAGTTAAAAAGTTGTTAATCCATGGTAGTGCAGAATATTTAATGCCATATAAACCTAATTTTCTAATAAAAGTGTTTCATTTGCAATTGCGTAATTTGTAATTTTTTGCACCGCATCAATTACGTCTATATTAGGTCACAACAGGACTGACGATTATCAGACCTCATGTTAGCAGAATATGTGGAAACCACAGAACTTTTAATATTTTTTAATGTTTTTCATAATTTTTATCTTGCTTGGATATTAAATAAATGATCAACAATATTAAAACACATATTTTTGAAAAAATTGCAACTTTCTCTACCATTATTATCACTTAATTCTTGGGATATATTGTTTGTTTAATTTGAGGGCGTGTAGCAATCTTCGAAACTCGGCTACGTCGCCCCGAAAAGCTGTTTAATTTTCTCGTCGCTATCGTTTGTTATTTACGTCAATTTTTAAAGTAAACACAAGGCCGTCGGTTTCGACGATAGCTTTTTATTAATCGCATTCCGGCTCGCCGTAAAAGGAAAAGCGGCCCCTTTGAAGTCCTAATTGCATTACGGATTCTTTTTCTTAGTTGTGTTACTTTCCAGGGAAGGAATAAACGGACGGGACTGCCTGCTGAGGACAATCTGCGAAAACGCGGAGCACAGCGCTTCAAACGATTTCAATGGTTTCTACGGGCAAATACTGCATATTCTTTTAACGTATGTCGACAGAATGTTGTAACGGGTTTACCTGAAGGGTCGTAAGAAGTTCTAGAAATTTCTAATTCTAATAATTTACTAATACCTACTCAACATTACCTGCACTAAAGTTAATGCATTATACAGAGGTGGAAAGAAACTTCCACCCCATTGACAAATACAAATACTAATGCATCCATCAATATTTCAATAGGACAAATTTGCTTCTGGGCACCAAATTTGTGGCAGGTAGTTTTCCAAGCAAAATTTCGAGCCTGTCTACCCCTCCATTAAATTCTAAAACTGTATAGCGCCTACGTGCTGCCTTTGCTTCTTGCCCTTATATTTGGTACAATTAGATTACTTCCCCCACCATTGGCTAATTGAATTTGGAAATTATTTTCAGACCCAGTTACGGGACAGACGAGCCAGACTTGGATCTTGACATCGCTTATGTCGACGCGCAAAGCGCAGGGGAATACGGGGTTGATTGTCGATCTCTGTATCCGGGTTGCGACTTAGACGGGCGAGGCTTTTTTGATTTGTTCAGCGTAGTGGATTTGCTGCCACACTAGTCGCCGACCAATATATGTATATTTTAATTTTTATTGTGTTTTTACTTGCTATTTTTGGGAAGTTGAAACCTCCAGTCACCATTCTTATTCCTAAGAGACAAAACTGAGCTGCAAAAGTTCAGACCTATATATATGCTGGTTCTCGCACCTTTACAAATGGTTAGTTAGATAGCAGGAATTTTGAATCTTCTGTAGTCTATCGCAATCCCTCCGCAGCAGTGCCGGTTGATTCACAGAGTAGCAGTAGGACACTCTGGGGAGAATTAAACTGCCACACAAGCGCAAGTTTAAGTTAATAATATCTTAATAATAATACATAATAATATCTTTTTTCTACTCCCGCCTGTAAAATACCTATTTACCCACCGATCTAGCATGCGGAAAGCGTCACTTTACCACGCCAGTTTCGTTTCCCATGAATCCGAGCCACTTCGGACATTTCCGGGATTTTACCGCACGAATTTGGGAGCAATCCGATGTTTTCGGAGATATATCCTACGCTTTGCATTTTGACGTTTGTCAATTCTGACAGTGAATGTATTCGCGGTGTTTTGCAAAAATGTACCCAAAAATTAACGGTAGAAAAAGTATGGTAGGCAACACGTTCGGTAAACTTTTTAACTCATTCGTTTATTAAAAACTCGCTCCGCTCGTGTCAAATAAACTCATGAGTCAAATACCGTTTACCTCATAATATACTCTTATTTAGGTAGAATAGTTTAAGTATTCCATATATTTGATGAAGCGCCACAGCCCCAAGTTCCTGACCTCATCGAAAGTGGGAAGGACCTCATCTCTAATGGAATGTTTTACGGTGTTCTTTGCAGAATCTCTATCGACCTTAGGTCCAAAGAACATTACCGCCGATTTAGACCCTTTAAGGCTAAGATTATGCGGTGAAGAAACCGTGATAATTGAAGTCAAGTCTTCATTTATTTCTTGATTAGCAGATTGACCTTCTCAAACGTGATAAATAGATATGAATATCATCCGCATAGTGCTGTGTGGGGCAGGTGTAGGTATATATGTGGAAGCCAGCGATATAGATGGATAGATAGGGCTCAAGTATAGACCACTGAGGAATTCCCTGTAGCACCCTCATTTTATTACACAATGTGGAATGGTCCACAGCCCACAGTAAATCAGCAACGATTGCAATCAGTGACGTGGTAGTGCTAAAGTTCGATCTAAAGTCAGACTGAGAACTTGAAATTATATTATTTTGAAAGACATAACCACAATTTTTCAAATACGTTGGATAAGAGAGGTAGAATGGTTATTGACCTTAAGTGGGAAAATCCTTTTGGACTTCCAGCAAAGGTCGAACAATTGCAAACTTGCTCTATAGTATACAGGAATTAAGAATGTGGATCATATGATCTATTAAGTAGTAACTAACATCAACATTTGCATATTAAACTCCAGTCCTTTGTCACAAATAATGGTGTATTTTTGTATGAAGAAAGGTAACGGATTTTTACCAATTGGAGATGTTTGGGTCATAGATTATTATTTTCATTCTCTTTATATGGTTTATTGCACATTTGGGACTATTGGAGCGTGCTGGACGAAGATCACTGATCATTGATCACTTTTCCCACCTTTCTCTCTATCTTCCTCATGCATTTGTGCCTAGGTAAGCAGAAACCAAGCGAAGAAATGTTTATTCTTATTACAATAATTTTAAATTAATAATTAAGTAAAAATAAAAAATCTAATAAATTTAAATTTAAAAGGGATGTGGACGCAAAGGCAAATATCAAAACGTTTTTTACAAAAAGATCTTGAACACTGTCTAAAGAATTATTATATATTTTAAACAATTTGAGTGTGCCTTCGAAAAAATATAAAAATGCTATTGCGAAAATAGTAAATAGAAGAGTTTAGATAGTTTCTCGAACTAAATGAAATGAGTTTCAAGCAATGGGCTTCTAGTAGTGCGAAGCTGGTTAGGAGAGAATCAAAGTTTTCTCTTCTTCTAAGTATAACTGACATAAGCTCTCCTCGCACACTCCCCATGATATGAATGTGTCTTCTACCAGACTTGGTAGTCGCACGCGATTGAGACTGAAGGTTCACTTTTGGCACCCATCTCCATATCATTATATGAAATTTTGCGAGACAGTCTTCCAATAATTTAAACTTTACTGCGCAGATAGACAATTGTTTGATTTTTGTCCTCCTCACAATCTTCTTATAGTTACCGAATATCTCACGAACATTTTTCACTGCCATGTAATGAGTGCGCAGGATTACTGATCACTAGCGTTCATTTGCCCCAGCAGCAAATATTTTATCAAATTTTGCCCCTAACGAATTTTTTCTGCGACGCTATGTTAACACCAGAGACGTGATAGGACTAATAGTTTCAATGAACTCCAAATAAAAATTCAAGGAGCTTTTAAAACATCACCCCTAACATGCTTGGAAGGCCATAATAACAATGGTGGGTCTAATTTGTTAATAAAGGCCTATCGAGAGTGCGTTTTCATCTTCTTGGGGTTGCCAAATTAGAGGCAATGAACTATATGAAGGATCCCTTATCGAAGATGTTGAGCTTAATCAGAGAGACGAACCTAGATGAAGCTATATTGCCATGGGCGGAGCCACAATAGGTCCTGTGCGTTGCAATGATGAGGAGACCAATTGCTAAGACTTTTAAATTTCAAATTCAAATTGGAGTGGGTTATCAGTTGAAGAATCTTAAACTCGCTTCAAAACTTGAGCAAGAAGAATGATTTTTTTGTTTTAAGAATGTTGCTTCTAGTTAAAAGAATTCACTTTTTAATATAGAGAGTAAAATGAGTTTTAAAAAGGGAGGGGCTCGCTACTCTACTCAAACTTTTACTTTAGTTCTGAAGCCTCACTACTACACTATTCTTTGAAAAGAGCAAGAAGTACTTCAAAAATATAAAAAAAGAAATTGCATTCTCGACTTACCGTTCTATGAAAGTATTCAAGTAGCCTCTTTTCCTTCAATCCGCTACCGCTTAATGAATCGTCGCTTACGTGCGAAAAGTTCGCACTTCGACGGTACAAAAATACCGTTCGAGCACTGTATCGATTAAATGGGGGTGGAGGAGTGATGAAATTCGCCTCACCGACCCCTTTGCATGTCTGCCTTCCGACTACATGATTAGTCGGTCCGATCCCAGGAGGATTGATAGCATATTTAGACACGTTAATAACAGTTCTAACTCATCCTTTTAATTTCCTATTGCGGAGTTCGTTGCGCCATTCGCCAGTCACCGATCCGTGGCCGCCGTTTTTAAGTGCTTTAATTGTCAGCATTTTAAAGGGTTATCTATAGTTATTGCTTCGTCGTTTCATCGACGATAGGAGATTTATAATCGATCGATTTGCGGAAAATGTATTTTTTATGCCAAAGGGGATTTTCACTGTGAGATTTTATGGACGCCATAGATATTTGAATGTTTTAATAGTGGCGTCGAGAAAAATCGTTAAAATTTGTTTACGCATATTCCGAAGGGATAAACGGCCACAATAGGCACAATAATGTAATAATCCATAATATACAAGGTGTGATTTTTGCGTCCATTTTAAAATGAAAACTTTTTAGATACAGGGTGGTAAGGTTATTTTCTTAAAAAAATAAAATACCTCTTCTCTCCATGGTCATAACAATATCGTTAATATGATAGCATGCAGACAAATTAGTTTTTATTTTTAAGTGAAAACCGTGTGAAAATAAGAGATAAAATCTGCTCATTAACGAATGCAAATGTCATTATTTTTTTTAGGAAAATCTGACTGTCTATGAACAAAAAAGTATTTTGGTCCATTAGGTTCCCACTGCAATGGTTAAATCAAGAACATTTCTTTATGAAAAGGAAAATATCTATCTAAAACAAAATATCTAGTTTTTAATTACTTGTGTCTTTTAGAAAAAAAATGTTAGGAGACTGTTCTTTTTACTTTTAGCTTTAAAGATAAATAATAAACGATTCTTATTAAACAAAAAACACAAGAATAATTTTTATTTTAAGGGAAATCAGTGGCGTACCATCAATATCTGCCAAAATTGGCAGGTGAATTTGCGTATGCCCGCCACTGGTGTATTTTAACAAAATTATAACAAAAGCTAAGACGTTTAGAATGAACCCAAAAATCGCCCACTAAATTATTGACATTCAATTAGAAAACACTCCGTATATAATAATAACAATAACATTCTTATTCAATGTACAACGGTCATTATCAGTAATACATTACATTTATAGTATATCTACAACATAAACAAATTGAAATTGTCCTTAAAAACGTTAAGTTGTGCGGAATCACATATTTACAGGAATTTGTACATAATTTATATATAATGCAAAGTCTAACCTAAATAATATAAAAATTTTAAAACACATAGATATTAATTTAAATTTGATATTAAAAACTTGTATATATAACGTGTGTTTTAAATTCGACTCTAACCATTATCATCTCGGTAACTGTAAAATATACAGGGTTTTAAGATTCAAGTTATTTTTATTACTTCGAAAAATATGACTAGACGTAAGATATGAAAATATATAAATAATAATTATTTAATATAAATAATAATAATAAATAAATTTCAAAGGATGCTCTGTCTGAGATCGATGTATTTCTCATCTGCGTAATCTCCCAAACTCTCTAACGATCTTTATTTGGAGCTTTTCCCGATTCACCTGTTACCAAATCTTGTCGAAAGATAATCAGATATCTGTTTTGTATTTTTCCACGAGACATGCTGTTGTAGTGGATTCAAGGTAAATCATCCGAATAGTCTTCAAGCGTTGACGTGAAAAACTGACAGTATGATTCTCCATTTAAAGTGCCGTCCAAATCACATTTTCTAGAAAAGCTGGGAAATCGATTCTGCTTTGCAGCCAATTACACAATGGCAATCGCCTGGCAAGATCACCTGGATGTCATCAGTAATATGAGAAGAAGCACCTACATCAAAGTAAACTTGGAGTGTGGATTTCCCCCGGTTTATGTTTATCTG